CCTCAACACAGAGATATAGCTCGTGTAAATGATTTTCTGCTATTTGTAAGACCAAATAATAGATATTTTTAATATTAGATAATAGGTATTTAAGTCTTAAGTCTTTAAAAATAATTGAATATGTGAGTATATACATATTTATTTTGGAAAGTGTATCTTGCATAGTACCTGAGCGGGAGGCCAGAGACTGGAAGGAATCTTTCTGATTGTTGCCACTGGTTGGGGAGGATGCGGAGGTAGGAGCAGAGGAAAGAGTAAAAAAACCACAAAACTATGTTTTTCTGGTTGGAGGTGAAGGTAAAGGTGAAGGTTGCGATAATCAAAAAGATTTCTTATTGGCTGGCATGTCTTACTGCGCCCTTGATCTATAAAACGGGAACGCGGAACCTCAGAACGCGTTTTGGCGCATTTTCATTTTTCATCTTTTCGCTATGGTGTGAGAAATTTGGTTCTATTGGCATATTGGTTGCCTATCCAACTGATATATGCCGAACATCTTTTATTACAAATAATCACCCGCATAATTTAAGGAATCGATCTTGCCAGCAACAACTCATTGAATCATCGATCACGAAAATGCATCAGAAAGAGATCATCTACAATTTTTAGATGCGCTGAAAAATACTATGAAAATAAAAATGGATGAAAAGGATGACAAAAAGCAAAAAAAAAATAAAAAAAAAACGAAGATTAATTACTGCTCTTCGCTTCAATTGGCGCTTATAGTCTGCTTAATATAATGAAATAAACAAAAAAGTTTATTATAAAATATATATATATAGTTATAATAACGAATTTATTACAATGTTATATAAAAAATGATTTTATTAAGAAAAATCTGTTCCAGGTTTATATTAAAAATTTTATTGTAAAGAATGAGGTTTGACCGTACAACTCAGTTTACACCACTTCCAACGCCACCACCGCCATAAGCACCGTAACTGAATTAAATATTAAAATAAATTGTTAGATTAAAACTATAGATGTCTCTCTCTCTACCATGAAAATAACTTACGGTGATGCCATCTTAAATGGATAGTCAATCGGAGTATCTTTTCGCTTCCAAACCTTTTTCCGCATCTTTTTAATCACATGTTCGACCATTACCTCTTCACAGTAACGACTTTTGAACTCACGTACATAGCGGGGATCCCTAATATAGAAACCAACAAAATTGAGATGAAATGGCAGGGAATTCATATTTACCTCTTTATCTCTTTTTAATAATCACCATAATTCAGATGCAATTCCTAAATCTTTACAGCAGCGCATTAATGCATTACTTTTAGCACCTTCCGCAGCCGTAGCAAGACCAGATGGATCAAAATATTCTTGTTCACCACGTGCAACAGAAACCAATCTTAAAAAAAATTGAAATTGAGAACTTCTATTATTTTAGTTGTTTTACATTTAAAGTGAATATTCTTCTACCTTCCTAGACACACGAGTGCATATTCCCTTGAAATATTCCTTGGACTCACTGAATTTTCCCCACGTGGTGCAAGTCCCCATCCTAATTTTAAAGATTTCCATAAAATAAATCAGCCTCGGTTGAATAAAACCTTGTTTTAAGATCACAATGATAATTACCTCCTGGACCAAAAGCCTGATTCAAGACACGACGATATTTTATTTCAGGAAGATAAATCATTCCATCTGTATGATAATCCAAATTGAAGAGCGTTTAAACAAATCTAAGGGAAAAGGAAGCAAAGATTAATGTCAAATTACCAGGCTTGCATTCCACATCATCCGGGTCAATAGGTTTTAATAGAATCTCGATAGCTTCTTTTGGAAAAGGCTGCATGGATAATCCATAAAATGATTTTGACCAATCGTGCCCAGTATCATCAAGTGATGTGTCTTGAAGTGATGTGTCTTGAACTGAACTACTCAATAATTCGGAGGAAGGAGGGAAACTGGCTCCACCTTGAGGTGGCGGCGCTTGTTGTTGCGTATTTTCAGGATTCCCTTGATAGCTAGTTAGTTCATTTTCTCTCGGCGCTTCTTCAATAGAAATAGTATAGTTTCTCATGGAAATCCCGCTATACAAAGGAAGGGACTTTGACGCGAATACGCGTAGGAAAAAGGTAAAAAATCAAGCAAGAACATAAATTCCTGCACTTAATATATCTTTGTTAGATACTTGCCCGTTGTGCATACGATTGGGTGAGAAGATACCCTTGGCTTTTAAATATATTCTTTACGACATTATGAAGCTTCTTGTTCTTTAGGATCGAAGACATTGCCGTGCGAGAATTGTAAGAGTCCTATTCTCTAAAATGCTATAATTTTACGTGTTTAATAGCGAAGATCTGATTGGTAGTTTAAACAACACATAAATCAGGTTTTTTCTCATCTAAAATAGTCAAAATAGTCTACAATCTATCATTATAAACTTGAATGGAGAATTCCAATAAGCATCTAGCTGATGAAAGGATTATACTGAACGTTGGTGGTGTAAAGGTAAGTATTTTTAGGGCATTGAGACGTTTTCTACCCATGAAAAAGTGAAGTTTGAAAGCCAGTAGTTGTCCATATACTTAAAGGGACACTTTGTCGTCGTCAGTACGAAACTTATCGATCGACGTTGACCACCTATCCGGATACGCTTCTCGGAACAATGTTTCAAAAGAGAAATAATGAACTGCTACGACCCACCAATGGAAACGAATATTTTTTTGACAGGGATGGCCAAGTTTTTCGATACATAATGCAATTCTACCGGACCGGTGAATTTCTTTGGCCCGAACAAAGTATACGACCGGAGTATGAATTACACCCATCACGTCCATTAAAACATCAGCAGCAAGTTCAATTAAAGCACACGATTGAAATCTCGAATTATGAACTAAAACGAGAATTGGATTATTTTCAAATTCCGGAACAATACACGCAACAATTATACAATCAGAAACCTTTCCCATTCGCTAAAGCTGCTGCAATTCGCGTTGATGAATTTGTCGCGGCATTAAAAGACGCGTTATATGAAATGATTATGAACTTTCGTACTAAAGTTGGAATTACATTTTATTGGGACAAATCATCCCCAGTCGTAAATCCAAAAATCGATGCGGTAGAAAGTATAGTTAACCCCTTCGCTTTCAATGGTTATCATATTCTTCACATGTTTAATAGACAAATAGAAGAACATCTTCAACTCTTATATCCTGATCTTGTAGTTCGCATCGATAAATTTAATGGTGATACGCCACGCGCGCATGTTAATGTCTATATCACACTGAATAATACGCTAGAACCTTCGATAATTTTGGAAAATTCGTGTCTCATTAAACCTCCCTCTTCTTCCTCTCATAATGATGATGATGATGATGATGACGACGAGGATGATTATGGTGGTGGTGATGATGGTGATGATCTTGTATTGACTCGAAAATCAGTGAAAAGTCAAAGAAAAATTCAAGAGGATAATGGATAAAGAATCGACTGGCTGTTAATTTTTCCTATTGTCAATCAAACTGCTGCGTAACGTCATTGTAATCGGACAATCATTGGCTGTATCAAACATTGTAATATATATATATATATATATAAATAAACAAATAAACATCCCCTGTCATAATATTAAAGTTTTCGCTGTGTGACTCTTCTCTTGAACTATATAAACATAAAAATATATATATCGATATATATAAACACATTTCTTCCTCTCTATCATACATTTTTCTATTTAAAAAATATGTCTGGTCGTGGTAAGGGTGGTAAAGGACTTGGAAAAGGAGGTGCAAAACGTCATCGTAAAATCTTGCGTGATAACATTCAAGTAATTTTGCTCTAGAAATAATACCCTCTTTAGTTGAATGGTTTGAAATGGGAATCTTAGATTAACTTTCACGTTTCTATTCATTTTCCTCAAACAGGGAATCACGAAACCCGCGATTAGACGTCTTGCTCGACGTGGTGGTGTCAAACGTATTTCCGGACTCATCTACGAAGAGACACGTGGAGTTTTAAAAGTATTCCTCGAGAATGTTATCCGAGACGCAGTCACTTATACCGAACATGCCAAGCGAAAAACTGTAACTTCGCTTGACGTTGGTAAGTTACGCGCTTTAATCTAAGAAACACATTTATGTTCATGAGTATTAGTCGCATTTAATGAATCTCTTGTATAAAATTATTAGTCTATGCTCTCAAACGACAAGGACGCACTCTCTACGGATTTGGAGGATAAATTATTGTGCTCGAATATATTCTTTGATCATTCATTTGATCGTTTTTTATTAAGTTCACACCATAATTATAGAAAAATATCTGCATTAATTTATTATATATATAGAGAGAGAGAAATTCTTTTCTTTGTACACAGATTATATTCGATTGCATTTAAAAAAAATGTAATTTTTAAGCTGGCAAATAAATTACACAACTCTTTAGTTAAAAAGCCTGAATTCTAATTTAGCAGTCAAGTTCCTTTTGATCTAACTATGGGAACTAAAGTTTGAGCTGATTATTCCGTTTTGATCGCGCCATTTTGATTGATCTTCGCGTAGCCATTAATCTTCGACTCGCCATTTAATTTTACATTTTCGACTGTATTTACATGCTCGGTAGATTTCTTTTCCCGTCGCTTTGGTAAAATCATATCCAAAAATAACAATACAAAAACAATATGCCCACAATAATATACAGCTCCCCAGGCTTTAAGCGAGTATTCCCATCTTAAAAGAGTGAAAGGAACCATTGCATAGTGCAATCCACATGTCTGTCCAAACCAGCAAGCGAACAGATGTAACCTTCTCAGTAATTGAATCAACGGCTTGTCCCGATTCTTTACATCATAAAGTGGTCTGGTATATGGTTCCAAACGTTTCGACCATCTTCTTTCCACTTCAATATCGAAAAATTCTAGGGAAAAGCACAAAAAGTAGCCGGCATGAGTGCCGTGCCAGACGGCAAGGAAGAATAATGTTATGATCGACGAAAGATTTTTGTTTCCGAGAAACATCAAACGTTTAAAGATATAGAGCTTGGACCAAAGATTTGTGTTGGTATTGAACGCGGCCACAATTTGTGATAATGACGTGGCGAACTCGAAGCGATACTGAGAAAGAATAAAATTTAAGTTTCGTTTTTTTTTTAATCATTAATAATTCAGAATTTATGGGATTTTTTATGCTTACTATTGATACATTCGATAAACCATCCCATTCAGCTTGTCCTTTTTCGTTATAGCCATTGAAAGATATTCCAGACAAAACGCATGCACCTTCCGCCAATGTCCAAACGCCGAGGTACTAGAGAGAGAGATATATATATATTATATAAGTATATATATAAATATATATTTTAATTATATATGACTTCGATTGACTTACCTTTGTAAAGGAGAATTTTGTAGCAAACCACATAAACGCTAGCTTTTCCCAGAAAGGTCTGGCAGAATATTCCTCTGTAATTAGATAATTAATAGGGAAAAATCCAGCGGCAATTTGATGTGCTCCCAAATAAATCGCACCAAGTAAAAAACATTTTAACGCGAATTTATATGATCCGGAAGGAATAGAAGTAGGATTGGGATATATGGAAAAAGTAATAAATTTTCGATATAACTTGAATGAAAATTGGGGACCGATTAAAAAAGCACCAAAAAAGTATGCATAACCAATTGTCTCTAAAAACGACGGTAAAGTCGCCAATCTGCAATCTTTTTCGAATGATACTGGTTGTTTATGAGGTACACGTCTCGGCGTCGTTAATTCATGTTTTATATTGGATGATGGATTAGCAGTTGCCGCGGGTTTATTGTCACTAGTCGTTTTTTCATCGGGGCTTTCTTTCGATTTCAATAAGGTAACGCCATCCATGAAATCCATCGCAAATCCAATCATTCTTAGACATAACACACATTGAGTCATAGTCCAATCAATGTCATATTCATCGGTCGCGGTATAATAATACCCAAGGGTAAGATAGGTTATATTGAAAATAAAGATCAATGCCGTTGCAAATTTTCGATTATCTATCGCGTTTCCGAACCACATTAGTAGCCAGGTAACTGTTGTCGTTATCAATGAATGAATTATATCCGGACCATTAAAAAAGTATGCCAACGCGAGTCCAGTGCTGACAATATAAAAATTGCGAATTGCAGGTGCATTTTTTAAGTTTATCGGACGGAGCAAAGCTATGTGATAGAAAAGAGCAATTGGATAGGCAAGAAGAATAGAGAAGAGTACTCGAAGCACTGGCTCCGGGATACCAGTTGCGTCACTTAACAATTCTAAAACCATGATGTGTTTTAATATGATAGCAATTACACGAAAAAATTTTTTTTGATTCGATCCGGTATGCAGATTTTTCGTCGAAAACTTTGGGGAGACAGCATACAAACAAGGAAGATTTATATATATGTGGAGAAACGGGTTTGCAACAAAAAAAAATTTCAGATTATTCCTAATTGGTTCAGTTTTCATGCTGAAATTTGACATACGCTTGACGATTGTCCAGCATTCTTAATATTCTAGTTAGTTTCTCATTAATATTGTGTATTATCGTTTAGTGTATTATGTGAATAATATTTTAATTTTATATTGATATTATAAATAGCGATAAACAATTAATAATTAATTAACGTTCATCATAATGATTGTTTTAAATTTTTAAAAATTTTCGCATTACTGAATTACTTTGTTTAAATGACGTTGTTTATTCCCCATTATGGGAAACCAAGTGGCGATCAATTCAAAAAAAATATTAAGAATTCACCATTGTTTCCGAAGACTTACACCAATCACCGTTCAAGATAATATTTTATATCTTTACGAAATTCCCTATTGATAATAGCAAAATCATATCATTGATTCATTTCCTTGACTGAATCAGAATTTTCAAGATAATCTTGCAAGAATATGTTAGCAAGATTTGATATTTTGGGATTATCAGTCTGCGACAATTGTTTTACACGTTTAGAGACAGATTTAACATCTGTTTAAGGTAATCAAACTATCAACAAAAATTGAATTCTTTTAAATATTAAATATGTCTGTTGAGGATTAAAAGTTACCTGCTTGACTGAAAGATATATTCAAGAACATTAATGTGGCGAGTGCTGAAAGCACCGTGCTTTCATTTTCACTTGACAAACAGTCAATAATTAGAGGAAGCCCTTCATAGGTGATTATGTACTCCTTTGCACGGTTTTCTAAGTTCTCGTAATAAACATGTTATTTATTACTAGTAAAACATCAAAACTACATATCTATAAATAAAATTCTAGAAATACCTAAGCAAATGTTACATATCCCGCCTATACCAAATTCTTTGATTTTTTCATCTGGTTCGGTAATCGCATCTGTTTACATATAAATCATTATTCTATTCGGCAGTCTGCAGACAAATTTTACTCGATTCTTCTCTCACCTAAGAACAAGTCTACGACGTTCAATTGGCACAAAAAATCATAATTTATTGGATCGTATGCGAAATTCGCCAAATTCGCTAGAATTTGATGTTTTGCCTCTAATTTTGGAAAGCAAAATCCATGAGTATTTTTGAGATCATCAAGATAATAATAATAATAATCTTTATAATCGATACCGATATCTGTTGTAGTCTGGTACTCATTTACTAGTTCTTGAAGATATTCTAAACTGTCGCCCAAAAACTCGTAATTAGCGGTTATAAAAAATTCGAAAAATATTTTATTATCTCGATTACCGTGGAGTGCCGTATTTTCCGGTACGCTTTTCGAGTTGTCTAGTGCTCGAAAACATTTGGGGATTTAAAACATTTCCAAACGCGACATTGTTAATCGTATGCGTAAATCAATATGGTTATTTCATTGTTAAAATTTCAGCCAATAAGAAATAATTCACGTGATAACACTAAAAATTTAATTGTATATTTATTTAAACGAGTGCTAAAATCTTTTGCTAACAGTAGTTTATTTTATAAAAGTATACCAAAAGAGTCATATTATGGTTTACTTCGTTTAGCTCATTCTACTTGCTTATTTTCTGTAAAAAGGCAAATGGCCGAGTACATGATGAACAGTGTTATAGAACGATTTACGCCACCAAATAAGGGATTTTTTGGAAGATTGATCAAAGATGTCAAAAAATTACACCTCTGTACATCCACGCATTATATAGATTCTCTCTAATTGCTCAGTCCCAAGCTATACGACTTCTATGTATTTACGCACATCCTTCTTTTAATGTATGCTCTGCCAGTTTTTTTCATATGATTGCAATTCGAGATCTTGGTTGTTTGTAAAATTCTCCTTATCTATAAAAGTGTGTCATATTTTACTACCACAGTATCTCCGCAATCATTGGGGTTCATATCCAGTAACTCACATATGCTTACACTTTAATGAAAACAACTTTATCAAGATAAAGAAGTTCTATTAGAGTTTGAATACGAAAAATTGTTACGCTGCCACATAAAAATTTTGTAGGCCCCACCTTTAAACACAGAATATGACCAACGTGTAATATCGTCGAATCTATTGGTGAATTTTAAAGTTCACAACAGTGAATTTAGAATGCAAGAAAATTGCCTTCCTGTTATCCGTCCAATTTCAAATTACTGTTTGCGAATTGACTAAATTATGCATTCTTATTTCCTTTTACATTTTTCATACCGTTCCTAACTTATGACTACCTTTTTTTCTTTCGTCAATTAGACGGCATTCTTTGGAAGATAATGTTAGCTGTTGATCAAAATTCAAGGTGTCCTTTCGTGTAACTACTCGAGTTGAATGAACTGGAAAAGGAGAAACTAAGGAAAACATTATTTTCGTATATGTCATAAACAGCGCATTACGAAACTCATTTAAAAAGTTTGCGAAGTCGTACACTGGAAAAGTTCGCAAGTGCTGACACAAAAATGGAAATTTCCAAGCTGATAACGGTGAACACCAATAAAATCTTTAGAATGAAAGATCTTGAGCAACTACAAATCGTAATTGATGTATAAATTGTCTTTCAAAGAATGCAAGCATTTGAAACACAAGAACTTTTTATCTGCAGTTGAAATTCTTCATAGCGAGCAATGAGTGGTCTGTGTGTAAAAATTGCCAATTTGATGGCGCAGCATCCCATCGCAACCAATAAAGATGCTCAGCCCGGCAAAACAAATCCCGACACAGTTGGTGCTCTCAACGCTAATCTTAACACCTTTCTTTATAATACTGCAATGATTTTCCGAGCTGCGACACCAACCTTGCATACATGCGTAAAAATTCTCGTATTTTGATTGGAGTGGACATGTCGACGAGGTAACCTAGTGGCGTGGTCGGAATTCTTCTCGATCAAACTTTTTGTTGCTCGAAACCATCTTATAATACTTATTCCTTTTCTATTATTACTCGTGTTTAATGTACAGAGTTTATATGAAAATGAGCCGGGAATTAATGACTGGTAACACTTCTTGTTTCTACTTTAAAAAAAATTGGTGTTGTGACACTTTTTTTTCCTTGAGCTACAAAACCAGTGCTAGAGCACAGAGGATTCTTCTCGCTCGCTGTGTTTAAGTCTTTTGTTCGCCTGATAGGATGGAGCATTAGATAAGAATTGTCGAAATGTTAGTTAATTTTAATGATAAAGCGCTGATTAGAAATTGTCAAAAAAAAAATTGGAAGAAGGAATGTAAGACTCAAGCACAATTTTAAGATCAATCGTTAAAAGATTATTGAGATGAATTTGTGGCGGGAAAAATCGGGCAAATATATACTGTACTAAGTTTTTTGAAGGAAACTGGTGTAAAACTTCCAAAGAACTTAAAAAAATATGAGAATGAAAAGATTGATTGGAACCCAACAAAATTCAAATAGTTTGCATTGTACATGCCGGTATTTCTTCCATGATCTAATGTTAATTTTGCAAAAATCAATCTTAGGATGAGACATTAATTTTATTTTATTAATTAGTGATCATCATTTGGGACACTTTAATTCCTGTTGGACATGTCCCGTGTATAATACTGCCCCGAAAAATTTAGCAAAAAGAAATAGAGTATGGCTTTAATTTCACGCAATCATGCAACAATTTTCTATTCTTTCTTTCTATAATTAGTCCTATAATATTATCAATTCAACCAATTTCACAAATGTTTCTAACAAATTAAATGCCAAGATCATTTTATCATATAATTCGTGTTTAAAATAAACTTTATGCAAGCCATTGTCGTAATGATACATACACATTACTTGTGAGACAAAATATCAGAAAATCAATAACATTTTCCTGTTTACATACTCGTTTTTTTTTTATTGACGTAAATTTCGCGCTTAAATTATTTACCTAACTAAAAAATACCCAAGATTTAAATAATGATAACAAAACTTAACCACGCAACCAAATAAAAATACATAATTTTAATTACTAAATAATTCATAATAAATAAATAAAATAAATAAATGGAATTTGAATACGACGATACACCGTTATCATATTATGCATTTCTCGTATGTGAAATTCTATCAAATTTGGATAGTCAAGTCGACTTATTCTCTTGTAGCTTGGTGTCTCGTCTATGGAACACTTGCGCCACTCCCCTTTTATGGAAAGCACCAATCTTGAAACGATACTCAACTCTACAAAAGTTCATAGCAACTCTATATCAAAATAAATATAGCAGAACAACATACTCGTATGGTTGTTTAATTCAAAAATTAGATTTATCTCGATTAGCGAACAATATACCGGCCGCGGAACTTGGTTTGATCTCTGAAAGTTCTGCCGTATTGAAATATTTGGATTTTTCAAATGTTACTGAATTGCGCGAGGAAAGTTTGTGTCGAATCGCGATCAAATGTACTCAATTAAGATCAATTAAATTAATTAATCTTCCGCATATAACTGATCACTCGTTACAACAATTATTGCAACGATGTCAAAATTTAGAATGTCTGGCGATTGGTGATTGTACTCGGTTAACGAATGCGGGATTAATTGAAATTGCGAATCATGCACATTCTTTAACAACGTTAGAGATTTATTTGACAAATACTCCAACAAAACATACATTTTCGCGTATTATAAAAAGCTGTCGAAATCTCAAAAATCTCCATATTTGGGATTGTGTGGAATTAGATGATGCTTCGGCACTCACGATCGCAGAAAATCTAGCAGAAACTTTGGAATCTTTGATTTTACATAATCCGCCAAAGCTTACGGATACTTCATTAACAGAGATTGCAACAAATTGTAAAAATTTACGCCATTTTGGACTTGAACCACACGGAGGAGTGACAAATGCGACATTGATCGCATTAGCAAACAATGCACATAATTTAAAATCATTAAAACTATCGCTTCGTGATGCTTTAAATATTACAAATGATGGATTCTTAGCATTAGCAGATCGATTAGATAATCTCTCAAATATACAAATTCAAGAATCCCGATCAAAAAACATTACTGATGTTTCACTGAGTATGCTAGCGATAAGAGGCGCGAGGACATTAACATCACTGCATATATATAACAGTTCCTTCTCTGATTCTTTATTGAGGGTGATCGAGAGTAATCAACCACCAATTAATGATCTTTGTCTTTTCGGCCTAGCCAATATCACAGATCAACCATTGATTGCTCTATTACGAAGTATTTCTGGAACGTTAACTTCCCTACAAATATCATATTGTGATCAAATTACCGAGGATGTCTACGTTAATGGATTAGGTGTTTACGGTGGAAACTTGAAAAAATTAAGTTTGTTTCCATCTAACGAAATTACTATTGATGGTCTGCGTGCCATTTCAACTGGATGCTCTGGATTAAAGGAATTTTATTTGGCCAGCACAGAAGATGCGCCTGCATCGGTAATTTAACATTCTATTTGCTATGATTAGTTATCTAATGATTCACCTAATAACTATTATAATTCTGATTATAGCTCATTCCTGTCGTAATATCACGACTGCGTGATCTCGAAGAACTTCGTATTCGAAATTGTCCGAATATGGAGGTTCAGCATATTCACACGATACTATGTGGATGCCGTCGCCTAAAAGAATTCTTTTTGGGACGAAGTCGTCATGTAACACAAGAATTTGTCGACGAATATAATATGGAGGGTAAAGGACGACCATTATTAGTGTTGGGGCCTTGACTTATTCATTTTTATAGATACATCTTTATAGCCAAATTGTCTATATATAATTAACTTTTTTTCCACAGAATAGGGGGAATTGGGATTACATTGAAATTTATTTTCTTCATAATTTGTATATTTTTTATACTTACACGAATATTTAGATTACATAATTGAAACACATTCTCTCGAAAGGAACATATTTCTAATTCGGACCACTAAGATAATGATAGTGGCAGCCCGAGTTATTAAACGTGTAATGTTTTTTGATTAAATCGATTGATTAAAGCAGAAAGCTAAATTATATAGAAAAATTAGAAATTACTATTAGATAAAATATCAAACTATTAGGAGCAAAATTATGAAGTATTGCTTGTATGAAGTATTGCTTGTGTAGAAAATTTTCAATTTTCAATTTTTTTATAAATTTCTCAATAATAATTATATGATTTTTATAATGAATTACTAATATGTTATTGTTCTAAATTTTTGTTATTATCATATATATTTACTCAAAGTTATATTAGAATAGATAAAAGTTCTAATCATTTTGATATATTTATTATATTAATAATTATTTTTAATATTTATTATTTCAAATAAATTAATAACTTCAAATATATTATTATTAATTTATCAGTTATTTTATCTTATAATTTTAGTTATATTATTTTGAGATATAGTTTATATATTTCTAAATATGATATTAATCTTTTATATTTCATAATATAAATTATATATTTTAATTAATTATATATATAATATATTTTTATTATTATATTTATTATATTATTATTATTTTTAATATTTTTTTCAAAAGTATTTTATAATAGATTTAATAATTATAATATTTAATTAGAATAAAATATAATAATAATTATAAATAAAAGAAATTTATATAATTAAAAATATAATATAATAGATATTAAATTATAATTACAGTAAAGTTAAAAATTAAAGATAAATAACAAGAATATATTTATAATATAATTAACTAAAATATAATTTAAAATTATAATAAAAGAAATAAATATATTATTACTATTTTAAGTTTGTATATATATAAGTATTTTAAAATAGTAATAATAACTATGTTCATGATAATTATTAATTTTTAATTTATAAAATAAGAGTTAATTATATATCTAAGATACTTAAGTGAATTCTAACTTTTAACAAAATATTCTCTTAATAAAATAAGAAGAAAATAATTAAAAATAATATATATTAAATAGGTATATTTATTAATAAGAATAATACTAGTTAATTATTTTTTATTTTTAATAATTAATTATTTTTCTAAGCTTACTTAATTAATTTTTCTTGATTACTTCTTGACTTACTATATATAATATTTTTTAGTTATACTAATTATAAATTAATTAATTTTATCATAATATTTCATCTAATTTATTCAAAAAAAAGAAGAATCTTAAAAGAATTATTATAAAAAGCTTTTTTAAATTAAATATAAAGTAATTAAAAATTAAAATTAGCAAAATATTAAAGAAAAAAACTAATAATAACTAAT